AGAAAATTTCCCAGTTTTGCCCTGCTCTGTGAAACTTTTGCATTCTGGAAAGTGAAGACACCCAGCCCCGATGCCTTCCACCCCCCGGGTGCCTCCGTGCAGCTCCCCGATTTACCCATAGGTACACTTCATATATGTATATTTGTATATGTGTGTCTATCACATTTAGATAGATAGGTTAAATACAAGAAAACAAGGACAATAAGAAAAATCCCCAAAAGGTTCCCAAAAAAGAGCACAAACCAAAAGAACCAACCAATGGATTCATAATCAGAAACTTCATTTTGAGAATTTTTTTGATTCTGTGATGAGTTTCACATAGAGATGGTGGGTGGTGGGGTACGGAGATGGTGGGTGGTGCAGAGATCCCTTTGTCCATGGCTGTGGAGAGCCTCCAGCTGCCTGTTGCCCACCACTGATGGGGTACAGACTGGGGCTGTGTATGTTTCCTTGTCTTTTGGTCAACGTCCTTGTAGAAAGCTGTGACATTCTCGCTGGTGGCGAGGAGGGAGAGGACAAGAGCATGGCGTAGTCTGATCGTGTCCCTGCCTGGGCTCTGGATCAGAGGAACTCCTTGCTGAAGGTTGCTGTGGATTCAAATTATTTACATGAGTTCAAAAGGAGGTTGGGAGAATCTTGGAAGAGGGATTGCTGAGGGCTGCCTAAAGAAGACCAGCCCCCTCCTGAAATGAAGATAGCAGGACGCTGGAGAAGAATTAAGGGGTATGATCAGGCCCCCCCCCCCCGCCGGTTTTGTATCATCTGCAGAATTGCTGAGGGTGCACTCCGCCCCATCATCTGGGTCATTAATGAAGTGGTTCAACAGTACTGGCCCCAGTATTGGCTCACTAGTCACACTAGTGACTGGCCTCCAGCTGGACCTTGTGGCACTGATCACGACCCTTTGAGCTGGGCAGCTCAGCCTCTTTCCTGGGACGCAAGGAGGCTGTCCAGGAGGTGAATATTTTGGTGTGGTGGGGAGAAGACCAAGAATCATTTCACGGTGCAGAGCTGTGTGCACTGACAAAATCAGCTGGAGCAGCTGAGTTCTTCCAGCATGGTGCTGTGCCCCGGGGGATGGATAAGGGTGTCCTATGAAACAGGGCAGCCTGTGGCTTGTCCTGTGTTGGCAGCACTGAGCCTGGCTGGGACACTTGTGCAGTGAGAAGTGCAGGTCTGTGGGTGCCTCGGGAAGCTGTGGGGTTTTGGTCCCCAGGATCTCCTCCATCATCAATGCGTGACCTCTCTGTGCTCCTGCAGCCTGGTTTTATCTGAGGTTCCATCTGCCATCTGCAGCACTGTGCTTTTTGTGATTGTCAGGATTTGTCCCAGACTTACCCAAAACTCTCCAAACACCAGCAGCCTGACCTCAGACACTGAGTTGCTGGAGCTTAATGAGCTGGGAGCGGCAGACGAGCATGGTCATTCCTCAGGGGCTGTGTTAGACATGTTTCAGACATGATGTAGCCCAGCTCACAGTGAGCAAAGCTGAAGCCAAGCAGACATTGCCAGTGTTTTCTGGAGGCTAGAGCAGTTTCTCCAACGCTTTCTGCGGCTCAGATGATGTAAAATACCCTGGGAAAGGCTCTGACTGCTTTGCTTGTCAGGCAGGGTCTTTGTCAGGACTGTGGGAGGAAAGAAACTATTCCCAGATGGCATTTTGTGAATATATTTATCAGCTTGAAATTTCCCTGTTGTTGCCATAACATACCTTGTGCCCTAGCCAAGAGCATAGGGATGGGAGACGTCCAAGTTGACAAACTACACTATGAACACAAAAACTACAGAATTTAGACTAAGCAGAAACACGCTCACTTTCGACTTGGCAAGACAGTTTTTTACCCTTACCTTCAAAGTCCCCTGGAACTGAAATTTACAGTCCTTATCCTTTCCTGAGACTTCTGTTCTCTGTAAGATAACATTTGCTTGCAATGGGACAAAGCATTTACCACCGCCTCCTTCCTCCACAAACACCACGTGTCTGTGTCTGTGATAGACCCTATCAGGAGACCTTCAGGAGTGCAGATGTTTTCAGCTGTGGCAACTGTTCAGTGCCCAGCACAATGGGGTATGAGTCTGCGAATGCTACTGCAAGTGGTAATAGTGTAAGTTGCTCAAGGATTGTGCTGGGAATTTGAAATACAGAGGCCCTTTTCCTTTCCTGCTAGAGTCAGTGCAAATATTTCCACTGGTTTCAGTGCGGTAGGGCTGAGCCTGAGCCAGGAATTCAAAGCAGGATATGCTGATGCTTCTCTGTGATTCATCCTTGCTTCTAAATTCTTGTTGCCAATTATAATAGCATAGCTGATAAATATTCTTCACTTCAAGGCTTAGGAGCTCAAGCAAATCTGCACGGAGCTCGTGCCAGCATTCAAGAACATCAGCTTCAGGGCTGCATTCTTCCCCCAACAGGTTTCCCAGGGTTGGAAACTCCTCACCTCTGCTCTCTCTGTTTCACTGTAAGTCATGGCAATGCCTCCTCATCTTCTATGCAGTGAGACAGGACTGAAGCCCATGCACTATTTCTTGGCCATGTTGTCCATCGTTCTAACTGTTTGTCTTCAGGATGTATTGTGCTGGGCATATTCTGGTTTAAGCACAGGGCAGTGCTTGTTTCCCTTGAATCTTCTTCATCCACTCACCGTTGCTCATGGAGACATCTGTGTTGCTGCTGATGGCCCCCGGTAGCTTTGTGGCAAACCACAACCTCCTGCAGTAGAAGTCGATTTTAACCACTTGAGGGATGACCATGGCAGGACTGGTATTCATGTCCTTCTTGTCTCAGGAGGGAAAGTGCCTGCATGTCCTGGGCTGGATGCTTAAAAAGACTGCAAAGAGGCAAAACCACAAAAACTGGGAAGTAGATTTTTATTTTTTAAAATTATCTACAATAGCATCAGACTTTTATTGTGGCCCACTGTGATGTGCATTGGTAAAGTACAGAGAACTTCTCTGGAGGTCTGTTCTTAGCCTGGGCCACAGACCCAGCCTGGTTGGGACACCAGGGGAAGGTGAATATGGAGGATGCTCTGCATGGGCAGGGCAGGGTCTAATGGCAGAGGAGTCTTTGGGGCTGAGAGGTGTGGAGGAATGAGGGGTTCCTAGGGGGGATCCTCACTGATAAGAGAAGTTGGGAGCTGGTTCACTGTGTAAAAGGTATGATGGAGCAATAACGTCTTCAGAGGGTTTGTGATGTTCGATCTGCGGTTGAAAGCAGGACTACTGTGGGAAGTCTTGCTGAATCACCCCCTCATCATTGCAGGGCAATGGCACAGGACAGAAAAGCAGAAGGGAGAATTTTGCCAAACATAGGAATTGCTCAGGTGGGTTACAGGGAGCAGGTCACCATTAGTACCTAGGTGATGTCTCATTAAGGACAGTTATTTTCAAAAATGACCAGGTTGGAATTTCTTCTGAAACCCACATCACTGTCCCCATTGCCATTGTCTCAACACTCTGAGCAGGCCCTGCTTTACACTTTCAACAGCCAGGAATGTCAGTGCCTCCAGCCCTGTTGCAACTAAACCAGTTGTGCCGCTCCAGTTTGCCCAAGCCACAGTCAGTGCCTTTAACCCTCAGATCTCTCCTTTCCCCTCACAGCTGGACAGTTTGAAGCACAAAGAGATGGAGGCTCTTACTTTTCACCCGCTGATGCGCGTGTTCTTACTGCACACACTGGTTCCTAAGCAAGGCGCATCACCACTATCTTGCAGCAGTGAGCTGAATGGGTTTAAATACATGTATTTTAATACCAGTATTTTAAAAAAAGTGTTAAAACTGAAACCTTCTCAGTTTTCCCCAATGGTGTGCTGCGTCTGTATTTCTATTCAGTAGACACCTAGAAATTAATTTTTTTGAGAGCTTTTATGCTTTATTCTCAAGCATTGCTGTAACTCCTCTTGCTCTGAAACAGGATCAGTCAAAAGCATGAGCCCAGCCTTGACCACGGTCATGACGTCGCACCTGTGAGCTTGCAGGGTGCAGCAACACACGGTGAACAGTGTGGCACCTTGGTACCCCCCTCACCCCACCCACAGTTCTTTCTGCCTTTTAACTCTATGAATCCTCAAAACCAGGCATGCACCCGCCGCTCCACACGGGTGCAGTGGGTCTGGGCCCCACATGATGTTCCCCATGATGTGAGGACCCAACTCTGTGCCCCAAACAGCAGTTAGGGAGCGGACAGCAAAGGGCATGACTAGTACATGAAGCAGTCCTGACTCTTCACCAACCGACTCATCCCAGTTGCTTCTAAGGTAGATAATAAATAACCCACAGAGTAATGCTGACCTGCGGGTGGCCCTATAGGCTGTATCAATACTGTATGAATAGTTACCAATGCAAACTATTGTCTTTTTTGAGTCTCAAGCACCTTAAGGGAGTCATTGTCCCTGTTGAAGGGGCATTTCCCTTGGCAAAGAGATTCTATGCATGAGTGCGCCTTCTTAATGTGTATAAATACTTGATGGGATGGAGTAATGAACACAAAGCCACATTCTTCTCAGTGGTATCCAGTGAAAAGACAAGAGGCAATGGGCACAAACTAGAAAAAACAGGAGATTCCATTTAAACATAAAATTTTTTTTTTTTTTTTTTATGATTAAGTTAATCAAACACTGGCACAGGTTGCCCAGAGAGGCTGTAGAAGCTCCATCCTTGGAGATACGCAAAACCCAGGTGTACGTGGTCCTGGGCAACCTGCTCTGGGTGACCCTGCCTGAGCAGAGAGGTTGGCCAGGATGATCTCCAGAGGTCCCTGCCAGTCTCAGTGACTCTGTGACTCTGGATAGCATGTACACCTGTTTCACGCTACAAAAGCACTGCTCTGGTGGTACTACAGCGCAGCTCTCATGCTGGTAACATAATTTCAGTACAAAAAAATAAACACACTTAATGTTCTAAGACTGCCAGAACACCACCTGGCTCCAGAGGAGAGTCAGAACCAAGTCCTGCTCTGCCCCCTCCCTTCTGCAGCTCCCGGCTGCTGTCACACTGCCCCCCTCTTTCTGCCTGCACCAGGACGTGATGAACCTGGCCTGTGCCAATACCACCCCCAGCATGGTCTACAGCCTCACCGCCATCCTGCTGGTCATCTGTGGCGGGACCATCCTCATCTGCCTCTCCTACATCCTGATCCTCAAGGCTGTCTTGCGGTTGGCATCATGGAAGGAAAGGCTCAAGGTGTTTAGCACCTGCATTGCCCATATCTGCGTGGTCCTGGCCTTCTACGTGCCCCTGATTGGGCTCTCCGTGGTGCACAGGTTTGGGAAGGGCCTGGCTCCACTGGTCCATATCATCATGGGGAACATCTATGCCCTGGTGCCTGCTGTGCTCAACCTCATCATCTACGGGATAAGGACCAAGCAGATACAGAGGAGGATCCTGATTTCAATTAAAATTTCCAATGACAGAACTGCCCATTGAACTGCACCCAGCTCTTGACTTTTCTTGACTTAGCTTTGGGGATGGGGAATGTACTCCTCTTCTTTGACTATGCAGCATGCTGCCTTAGCCCTTGGCAGGCTCTCAGTCACTATCACAGCACAAATAACAATAATTTATGACTGCAAATTGTAGAGCAAATATACTTCGTGCAGCAAGCACTAGTACTGTAGTAAAAGACTACACAAGCTTGGCAGGTTGATGGCTTTACGGACGCAGTCAGAGCCCTTCAGGAGTTAACATTTAGATGGGATTTGTTCCTTTCCTTGCAGTGCATCCCAGTGCAACCCAGAAAGACACTGTGGCAGACAGACAGTATAAAACACTTTCATCTAATATTAACTTTTTCATCGTGTGTTCTTTTTCTTGCATTTATTCACTGCCTATAATTTAGAAAATTATTTTTGGAAACAACAGATAAATACCACTTTGTGGAAGCAGAAATTTCTAGCACAAATTTGATTAAGAGCTTCATTTCCTGAATTAGGAACAAAATAACTCATTATCCACACAGCACAAAGCAGAACAATATTTGTAAATAGTAGCTCAAGATATTTGTGGGGAGGTATACTCGGTGTAGGTGGTAAAGTTTGGGTAGTGGAGGGGGCTGCAGGAGTGGCCAGGAGGGAGGTCCGGGGCTGGCCTGTGCCAGACACAGATGGTTCCAGCTGGATCAGTAACAGACCCATCATGCACCAAAGCTGAGCCAGTCACGGGAGTTTGTGGGGCCTCTGTGAAAACATATTTAAGAAAGGGCAGAAAATGTCAGACTGAGAGAGGAGTGAGAAACAGCACGGAGAACACCAAGGTCAGAGCAGTAGGAGGTGCTGCATGGTGGTAGAAGCACTTCCACCGAAGGGACTGTGAGCCATGGAGGACCCACACCAGAGCAGGTACACCCCCAAAAGCACTGCAGCCCATGAATAAACCCATGACAGAGCAGACATAGACCCCAAAGGAACTGCTGCCCATGAACAAGCCACACCGGAACAGGTACACCCCCAACGGGAATGCAGCCTGTGGATCAGCCCATGCTGGAGCATTGGAAATGAGTGAGAAGGAAGGAGTGGCAGAGAGAAACTGCTGTGTACTGACCCTGACCTGTGCCAATCATCATCTTGCTGAGGGGACTGAGTGAAACCTGCAGTGATAACAATGAGAGGAGAGGACTCTGGAGTGAAGAAGTGACTGGGTACCACTGAAGTTTTCAAGGCGTCATCAGTCATAACTCCAAGATATCTATTTCCGAGTGGGGGTGTACAGCTCATAGCACAACCTTGTCTATGCAAAAACAAGGCTGTGTTTTGCCAGAGCACCTCAGTTTTAATGAATCTATACTGAATTTTGCTGTCCAGTTTATCACTTCATCATTCAGCTTTGCAAAGTTCTCCCATAATCCCTCATCTCTACTACTTTGGGTATCGTGGCTTCATAAAAAGCTTCATAACATCCTTCTCTAGGTGTTTATAACATCCTTCTCTAGGTGTTTAATCAGTAGAAGAACTGCTGAGGACAGCCTGGGGGAAGCAGAGACCCCCCAAGACCCTGTGACCCTCATGGTAGTGTGGGTGATGAGCCACCACATACAACACGAGCTGGTTGGACGTGGGGATTTCTTACCTGCTGGGCTGCGATTGTAAAAGCTGGGTCAGGGGTGCAACAGCTACAGATATACTAGTAAAATAGGCTGGACTTTTTTCTTGTGCCATGTAAATTCGACACTGTGAACAGGAATCTCCTTTTGTAATAGTCCAGATTTATAAATATGCCAGCTATGCAGCAAAACACATTTCTTATTCTAAGACTTGGAGAAAATAAAGGAAGTAGACACATTAATTCAGTAGAAATATTATGGATTTCTTTCTTCTTTTGTGCTCTATTTGCAGTGCCGATCTATGAATCAGATCTGCAGCAGCCTAGCACATCAATAAATAACTCAGGCAACAGAAATCACATCTAAGTCATATGAGGACAAGCACAACTGAAAAGAGCTAAAAACCCCAGTGCTCACAGGTGTTTGTGCTCTTCCCCATGACCCTGGGAGCTGATCCCCTGAGCCCCCCAGTGCATACAGGGGTGGAGGAAGGGGTCAGTGCTCTGCCTTTGCTATTGAGGGGGGATAAGGTGCATGCAGCAGGTTTAACCGTACCGTTACTGACACTGTTCTCAGAGTTCATGCTGGAAAATGTGAGCAACCCTCCTCCAGGTAGACATGTCATTGGCCACTGCACATCTAGCCAAGAGGCTGGGAGCAGGCATGGGGCTCCGGGCTGGTTTGTGCCTGTGCCAGTGCCATGTGCTGGAGGAGTGGGCATCACCCACCACCCACCCCCTCTCCTGGCAGCGAGGGTCAGCACCTCAAACTTCACTCCTCTCCCAGCTGCCTGCCAACACAGGATGGCTTGGCCCCTCTTTCCCCCACCCACTTTAGTTAAATGGTCCAGCAGCATCAATAGCTCTTTGGAGAAGACCTGCAGGCCATCAGCTCATTTCCTTAGCACACAAAAAGAGAAGAAATGCAGCCTGTGGAGCTCAAACAAGGGTATTATTTACCTCCAGGTCACTATCAGCACAGTGACGTCAAAGCTGAATACTCTGAAAATTTTCCAGTTCTACATAGGCTGACCTCTGGATTTCGCACCCTCCTCAGTCTGCCAAGCAGGCTTTGCTGCTTGCTGCAGGCAGTGATGAGCTGAAATGCTACCATTTTCAGCACATATGTACAATCCTCTCACAATTCTCAAGTCTTAAACTTGGAAAGATTGAGGAGAAGAGATGGAAGCTATTTAAAGTGGATCATGCACTTGCTGCAGAGTTATGTGTCCAGGGTTAATTTCTGTGGCCCATCATGGGCTGCAATTTGCATGTGCAGTTGTATGGATGTCTGTACATGCTCCTGTGGATGGGATGTGCAAGAATTTAGATTCTCTTGAGAGAAAAATGCAATGAGCAATGAGCAGTCATGGATTTGCTTGGTTTTGACACCATACACCATGGTGGGGGAATGGGAGTTAGAAATTAGCCATCAAGATGTGCATGTGAGAGGCAATGTGGCAACCAAACCTGTGGATTACTGATGGGAGAACCACAGAGGTGCAGAAGACGAGGATGATGCAGATGTGGGAGAGGCAGGTCCCAAATACCTTCAGTCTGTCCTCCTCAATGCCAGGCTCAACATGATCCTCAAGATCCTGAAGTAGGACACCCCGACGAACAACAGATCCAACCCCACGATGAAGAGAACCATGGTGATGTTACTGAACCTGGTGTTGGCACAGGTCAGCTCCACCACTGCCCGGTGTTGGCAGTGGCAGTGGGAGATGCTGTGGGAGCAGCAGTACAGCAGGCAACAGAGGAGAAAAGGCAGAGGCAACATGAGCCCAGCTGCCCTGGCTAGAGCATTGCAGATGGCAACCTACTTGTTGAAAGCCATGGCCAGCAGCTCCACCGATTCCATGACTGAGAAAGTGCAAAGAAAAAACATCTGCACAGGGCAAGCACTGAAGGTATGGGGTCGTGCTGTTGGAAGCAGAGAGTTTGACATTGAGAGGCATCCTTTGCAAACTACACCTAAAAGTCTTTCTTTTCAATAGAACATAATAGAAAGAATCATTAAACTTTGCAAAACATGCCCAGATTGTGCCACTTTCACTGAAATTCCCTTATAATGTGTGAAGTTGATTTATTATTCTGCTTGTTACTAAATCATGGCAAGGTCAGTGTGTGGAGTTTATCAAAAAGAGTGTGAAGTGATATCAAGTAAAAAGCGTGATCACCGTTGTTCAGATATGAAATTCTTCGGTGTTTATTTGGATCCAAGACACCTCTCTTTCCTTGGGGAGGCTCTGCCAGCTGTGCACAGAGGCACAGCCACAGCTGGCGAGTGGATCCTAGGTGAGGAGGACTTCTGATTTGACCCAGCACAGGCTCTCTTATGAGTTCCCAGATTAAACTAAGAAAAAAATCATGCATCATCAGAATTCAAGCTGTGTTTCCATCCCACAACAGATTGGGACCTACATCCGTGCTTGGTTCAGACCCTCTCTTTCCTCCCCCCTCGCACAGCTCGTGTACCTGACTACCTGGGATGACTCACCATATTCCTGACCAAGCTGAAAGCAGCAGCTCCTTTTCTCCAAGGACCTCTGGCTCTCCAGCCCACTGAGCAGACTTCAGAAGCTGCCCTGCAGCTGGGGAGTTTATCACTAAGCTGTATGCTCAGAGGTTTCCAGTGGGCAATCTCATGTCATTCTCCCTCTTTCATCTTCAGCTCCAGAAGACCAGGATTAACTCTTGCCTCTCAGAGTTGGAGGAAACCCTTGCTGCAGAAGAAGGGAGGCAGGGCAGTGATTTACCTTCTCCCTAAGCTGTTTCTCTTGGCCAGAGTCCCAGCAGACTTTCCGTGTCTCTTTTTACAAAAACCCAAACAATTAATTACTGCCACCATATCTGGGAGACGCATCCAACAACCCCAAGTGCCCAGCAGCCCCCAAAATTTCCTCTCTAGCTCTACCAGAGGTCTCATCCTAGCTGGGTGGGCTTCCCCCACCTTCTGCCGCTCAGGCACAGCACTGTGAGCCAGGTGCAGAGACGCCAGGTAGGGTAAAGGATGCAGTAATCGCAAAGTGGTGTTCAGTGGGCAGTGCTTCGCTGGTTCACCTCTGCAGTATCAAGAGTGAGCCTCCACTCAGGCCTTCTTGTTCCTGTTTGCACTGTGACAATGACGAGAGGCCTCAGAGCAGAAAAGCCATCCCATTTCAGACACACAGATGCGATACCTTTGCTTGCAAAGGATGGGAACCCATCCATCGGATTGTACAACGGGACTGCATCTGGAGCACCAGGCTGCCTGGCAGGTCCACATCTGGCTCACGTGCTGAGGTGAGCATGTGAGTCCTGGTGTGAGATTGCAGCTGGGGAGGGCTTTCTGAAGAGGTCCTTTTGAACACGGATGCTGGGTGCCCACCCCACGTGCTCCCCAG